TGTGTCGATCTGCTCGAGGGTAGGAAGGCTCTGCAGGAGGATCTGGATAGGCTGCACCGATGGGCTGAGGCCAACTGTATGAGGTCCAACAAAGCCAAGTGCCGGGTCCTGCACCTGGGGCACAACAACCCCAAGCAGAGCTACAGGCTGGGAGATGAGTGGTTGGAGAGCTGCCAGGCAGAGAAGGACCTGGGAGTGATGGTGGACAGACAGCTGAATATGAGCCAGCAGTGTGCTCAGGTGGCCAAGAAGGCCAACGGCATCCTGGCTTGTATAAGAAGCAGTGTGGCCAGCAGGGCTAGGGAGGTGATCGTCCCCCTGTACTCGGCTCTGGTGAGGCCGCACCTCGAGTACTGTGTTCAGTTTTGGGCCCCTCGCTACAAGAAGGACATCGAGGTGCTTGAGCGGGTCCCAGAGAAGGGCGACGAAGCTGGTGAGGGGCTGGAGAACAAGTCCTACGAAGAGCGACTGAAGGAGCTGGGCTTGTTCAGCCTGGAGGAGGCTCAGGGGCAACCTTATCACACCCTGTAAAGGAGGCTGTAGCGAGGTGGGGGTTGGCCTGTTCTCCCATGTACCTGGTGACAGGACGAGGGGGAATGGGCTAAAGTTGCGCCACAGGAGGTTTAGGTTGGATATTAGGAAGAACTTCTTTACTGAGAGGGTTGTGAGGCACTGGGATGGGCTGCCCAGGGAAGTGGTGGAGTCACCATCCCTGGAGGTCTTTAAAAGCCATTTAGGTGTAGGGCTCAGTGCTGTGGTTTAGTGGAGGACTGGTTAGTGGCAGGTCAGAGGTTGGACTCTGATCTTGGAGGTCTCTTCCAACCTAGACAACTCTGTGTTAAGCAAGGAACCAAGGCACACGCAGCGCACCCTACCACTCCTGCTGGCCAAAATGCACGATCAGCAATTGTGCAGCACATGTGCTTCTTTTCAGTGTGCACAGCCCCTGTTGCTGGCTAACAAATACATAGAAATGTACGCACTGGGAAACAGTAAGAGAAAAACAAGCCCCTTGCAATTTTAAGAAAAAAAAATTTCAGACCTCAGCAGATCAGCATGTAAACAAACTCAGAAGTGAATTTACTAAGACAGGGAGAAATCACATGAAGAACAGCAGTAAGGACATACTCAATGGGTATGTGCTGAACGAGGGAGAGGAAGAGGTAAGAAGTCAGAATTGTAGCACAGCCGGGAAGAAGGCAGCTCAGGCAACAGGATGGCAATTGAGCCTCAACAACTACATTGTACAGAGAAAAAAATTAGAAACTAGACATATGTATTTTGAGAACTTGATATGTCACAAAAATACCTGAAAATTGAAGCCAACTGAATAAAATGCTTTTTTTTTTTTTTATAGTGGCTGAGAGGCAGTATCAAGCTTTATTTCAGATCCTAAGCTATAGCCATAAAGCATTTATACTTACAGTGTTGGTACAGTTCAGGTGTTCCCAAACTATACTGCATAGAGAGCTCTGGACAGGCTTGCAAGCTGCTCAGAGAAGCATGATGCATGCAGCCTACCAGAGTTGGAAGAACCAATGCTTTTACAATGAGTTTACTATGCCAAGAGAAGAGGGGGAGGCAGGCAGGCAATGGCCTGAAGTAACCCACCAGCTGAGAACCAGAGCAGCTGAGAGAACCTGTGTCAGCAGCTTTTCTGTCAGCCCCTTTCGCTGCTGAGCTTTGTTTTATGTCCTTCAGCCTACGTAATTTCCAGGCAAGAACTTTACTTCTATCTGCCTGGAAGACCTTTCTTGCAAGGCCCTGTCTGCTCCACATGCACATACACCCCTTGCACCAGGAGCTGCCAACAAGAGGTAAGTGCAAGGTGGGTCACTGGCCGCAGCTGTGAGTAGAGTGGTGATGGGGGTGTGGGAGCAGAGCACAGTGAAAGGACACATGGGACGTCTCACAGCACATACACAGAGGCTGCCCAGGGCATTCCTCATGGTGGCTACCCAGGAAAACAAGTCTGAGAATGTCCTGTATACTTTACTTTGCTAATATATTTGGTAAATAGCCCTAATTGACAAGATGAACTATTATCATACAAATGCTGAACCACAAAAGCAGGACTTCTTTTTATGTATCTTACATCTTAAAATCAGGCTTAGTCAGCATTGGTGTGGTCCACAACAAATTCTAGGTAACAGTAAATTAATCTGTTGATCTGCAAACTAACATTTAATATAATTCAGTTTCTCTGAATATTATTAGCACATTCTCTAACTGTGGAAAGTTTTGTAGCTTTACAATATACTACCATTCTTGCATTTTTTATTTGCTGCCTTAATTCTCAGAACTTTAGTGCAACTATTCTAGGGCTGAGCTTTGCTGTATTATCTGCCTTAATAAAATCTGATTAGTTTGCACAAATATAAAGAGCAGGCTTAGGCTATTTGGCCAGTTTTGAATATCCAATGGCTGGATATCAGAACTCACGAACACTTCCATGCCTTTATTCCTAAAAGCTCAAGAGGATCGCTGTATATTTGAACTTCATACTACGTGTGTCTCACTGGAAAAGTGATTTTGCCTTGACAAATATGAAAGCACAGCTTTGGCATATACCAGGGCTATATACTTCATGCTGTAATCCTGAAGTGGTGATTGTCTCGTGGCCATTACGCATCACATTCTTGCTATCTAGCACATTACTGAAATGGTACAATGCACGACTTACCTTCAGAGTAGCCAAGATGCTGTGCTCTTTGCTTCCCAACTTTTAACATTTCTTTGTTAATGTCACAGACCACAACTTGGGAATCCCCTAGTGGCTTAACTTTTTCTTCCTCGTAACTCTTAGCGATTTCCTGCCACGACAAATTCTGATGGCGCTTAAGCTTCTGTTGGAGTTGACGTTCTCGTACAGAGCGAACATAATTAATAAATCGAAAGGCAATGTCACCTGCATTTGTTTTAAAAGAAAGATAAATGTTTCAGAATGTTTCCTGAACATGAAAGTACTAAAACTCCAGGAAATTGGAACATAAAGCTCTGAACATCAAACTTACATGTTATACAGTAAGTATATAAGTAAAGGGAATATATTAGAAGCAAACAGAAAAAAAATGAAATATATTAAAAGCAAACTTTCTGCAAAATAAAGTAGTTTTTAACAGCATATTATGGCATTATTGTAATGATTTCAGAGCCTTGGAGTAAGATATTTCAGAACACAAATAAGTTAGCTCTCAACCTCTCTTCACTGTAAATCTGCTATAGTATTGTAGTAAATCAGATAGATGTTTTACTGGTTTTAAAGACAGGGAAACTAAGACCAAAAAAAAAAAAAAAAAAAGGTTAGGCAACTCAAGTCTGAGCAATCTCAAACAGTTCAAAGATAGCGTGGTGTGGTCATGTGGAACTCACCCAAATTATTTACCTGTTCCTCCAGCAACATCAACAAGAAGCGTTCCTGGGGAAGGATTCATTTTATGCACGAGGATATCCTTCCACACCCGATGAATCCCCAGAGTCATTGAATCATTCATTACATCATATTTCTCGGCCACGTTTTCAAAGACCTGATAAACTGTAAAGAAAGAACATAAGAAGGAGATGCAGTTTAATTAAAAACGCTTCAGTGGCAAGAAAGTGTCCTTTTTTTTGCCTGGTGGAGGTCTGCCACCATGTGGAACTGAGAAAGATCACCTGAAAACTCCTTACACCAAAAAGACACAATCCCATTGACCTTGCTGCCTGACAAAGCTGTCTTTGGAGATACACAGCCTCTTCCCGTAACCCTCCCGGTACTCTGGGGGGAAGGATCGAGCTGGGACAAGGCAGATGGTGTTTACCGAGGCTCCCGGTAACGTCTCAAAGCAAGCTCCCGGCCCCACCACCCCTCCGGGAGCCCCTTCACCCCCACAACCGATGCGCGCACCGGGAGCCCCGGCCGGCTCCCCCTGGGCCCTCGCCGCAGCGAGCCCCCGGCCCCCTCACTTTTCTCCCTCCTCTCCTCCTCCGACACGTTCTGGAAGCCGAAATGCGTCTGAGGCCCGGCGGCGAAGCCCCGGGCGAGGCCGAGCAGCGCCCGCAGAGCCCCGGGGCGGCGAGTGAGGAGCGGCCGGGCCGGGCCCAGCCCCGCCGCCGCCATTTTGAAGGGCGCGACCCGGCCCAGCCCCACCGGGCCCGGTGCCCCCGGCGTCCCGCGGCCCTGCCTTGCTCCGGAGGTTTTTGAATTTCACCCGTGAACCCCCCCGGGGCCAGGCACGCCGGGTGTTTGTCGGTCCCCGGGGCCGAGGGGAGGCGGGAGGGGTTTTGGTTCCCCCTCAGGAACTTCAGCGGGAGGGGTCTTGGTTCCCCGTGGGGAATTTAGCGCGATTTGGGGAATCGTCCGGTGAGATTTTTTTTTTTTTTTTGTGCAGTGAACGCCCTGCTTGTACATGGGAGTCACCCGGGAGCCTTTGAAGTGAATAGATACGGAATTACTGAATGGATGCGGAGTTCCTGAGCCATGCGTCACGCCGGGAGGTGAGGTCACGGCTCCGAGGAGCGGGCCCGGAGCTGCGCTCCCCCAGCACGGGCTGGGCTCCAGCCGCCGCCCTCCGCCCTCACACCCCCGGGGCCTCCTCGCGTCCTGCGGGCGGAATTGGGCCAAACCTCCCCGTTTTCGCCCCGTGTTCTTCACAGCACGGTACCCGCACAGCACCACACGTTATCCTTTCGGTGCCTCAGGCAGGGGGAGCCACGAGCGGTGCCTACCGGAGGAGTTACCGGGGGGGCCTCGCACGCTGCCTTCACGGACCGGCCGCACGGACGCGCCGGTTGGGGCGGCTCAGCCATGACGGGGGGGGAAAGAGGAGGCCGAGCGGAGGCTGCGGGGCACCTGAGCGCCCCCATTCCCGCCCCACGGACACGCCGTGCCCCGGGCCGGCCCCACGGGAGCCCCGGGAGCGCCGAGCCCGGCGTCCGCACGGCGCCGCTCATCGCTATGGCAACGGCCGCAAAGCACGCCGGGCTGAAAGAAAGCGCAGAGAGAAAACGCTGCGAGACAGCACGATTCCCGGCCAATGAGCGCGCGGAGCGGCGGCCGGGGAATAACCAATAGCCGGCGGCCGGCGCGGAGAGGGCGGGGCTGGCGGCTGAGGGAGGCGGGTGCGGTGCGCGCGGGTCGGTTAAACCGGAGCGGCGGCGGCGCGAGCGGAGTCCCTGAGGTGCGCGTCCGCCCCCCACATCCCTGCCCGCCCGCTGCGCGCCGCTCTACCGGGGCTGCCCCTGCTCCTCGACCGCGAACGGTGAGGGAAGGGCGTGGGGAGCTGAGCCCTGAGGGGTTGGGGCTCGACCGATACCGGGAAGGCCGAGGGGAGGCGGGCGGGGCGCGGCTCGCCCCTTCCCGTGGTCCCCGGGGGAATGCGGGGAGCAGCTGAGGGGGCTGCGCCCCCTCCCGGTGGTTTCCCGGCCTGAGGCGGGGCGGAGCGGGACTGGGGGGGAGTCGGGAAGGGCTGGGAAGGACCCGGCTACGCTCCCCTTGCTCGGGACTGAGGCCCTTCGGAGCAGGCGCTGAGCTGAGGCAGCTGCGAGCGGGGCTGTGCCCTGCCCCTGAGCCGCCCTGCGGGGCCGCTGCGCTGCAAGCGGCGTGGTATGGCCGGGTGCTGAGCTGGGCGCTGCGGGAAGCCCTGGGGAGCCGTGGTGGTACCTCGGGAGATTGCTCGGCAGGTGGCTGCGCCTGTAACTTTGAATTTCGGTCTTCGCCGTAATTCAGGCAATCATGAGTGACCGAAAGGCAGTGATCAAGAATGCTGATATGTCAGAGGAGATGCAGCAAGATGCCGTGGAGTGTGCCACTCAGGCCCTGGAGAAGTACAACATCGAGAAGGATATTGCTGCTCACATCAAGAAGGTGAGGGTCTGGCTGTGGGGCGTGCTCGTGTGCATGAAAAGTCAGGCAGGCGAACGTTGCTAGGCAAGTAGCTCTAGAGAAACAAGTTCCAGAGATACTAGATAATCAAGTTGGGCTTTCCCTGTAGGCTGGTGTCCTTATGTTCCTTTCCCCACCCTTTGCATGGATTTTTGTGGTCCTTCTACTCTCCCCTTGCAAAACTTTCCACTTAAGCATTTTCCTCCATTATCTCCCTGTCCAGGTTAACAAAAAAGTGGCAGCTGACCTGTCCCTGTGACTGATCTGCCAGGACAAAACACTGGCCCTATTGAGCTCTCCTATAGCTTTTCTGTGAGAGAAAGCCTGTTTTACATAGTTCTTGATTTCAGTTGTATTGAACTTAATCTTCAGGATCTGTTTAGTTCTGTACCTGGGAAACAAAAATTGCAGGGAAACATTCTTTTTGGCAAGTCTATTGCGCTCGCATCTTTCTTTATATAGTGACCAAAGCAAAAAATGTATATATATTAGCCACTAAGGTGTTTTTCTGTTGGAAAAGTCTGTTAATCCTACACTAAAAAAATAGAAGGTGGGGAAAGATCTAGTTCCGATTATATTTCCTTCATCAATTCAGATTAATGGAGAAATGGAGGAGTCTCAGTGGAAGCTAAACTGATTTTTGTGGAAAAGCAATCTTAAAAGTAACTCAGCTAAGCAGAATGGCTGTTTTCATCAGAGAAAACTTGTTTTGCTGTTCCCATAGTACAGAGAAGCACTTTTTTTTTCCCAGATGCAGGAAATATCTAAGATAGCAAAGAGGGAGTTTAGCCTGCTGTGTGCCAGGTACTTTCTGTGGCAGCTACTGGAAGCTTCTGGAGAAGTTTGCTTGATGTGTGTGAACACGTCATGGAGATTTGTTCATAGCACTGGTATGACAGAGCTTGTAGCAGAGTTTTTCTGTAGCTGCCCCTCAGTCCCTGTAGCACCCATGTTGCAGAGGAACAATGAAGCCGAGATAATGGCTTAATCCCCACAGATACAAAACGAGTGGCGAGGCTTTTACTCGGGGTTACGGTTCCAGATTATGGTATGTGTTATGGGGGGAGAAATACTACTTTCCGTGAGTGAAGGAAATATTTTGAGCTTATTCCTGATTTGATAGGGAGCACGGGGGGGGGTGTTTTATCTGACTAAGCAGCAGGTGAATAAGTTGTAAATAAGATCATAGTATTTAAGAGCATCTGCTCTTCCTCTAATTGCCTTGCTCCAAGTGAATACCTGTTCAGAAGCGTTCTTAATTCCGAGTGATCTATTTTGCAGGAATTCGACAAGAAATACAATCCCACTTGGCACTGCATCGTGGGAAGGAACTTCGGCAGCTACGTGACTCATGAGACCAAGCACTTCATCTACTTCTACCTCGGCCAAGTTGCTATTCTTCTTTTCAAGTCTGGTTAGCTCCGGGGACTCCTCCTGACACTTGCGTCTGGTTATGGGACTGCGCTGGCTCCTGTGACTGGTTACTGCGGCCTTCCCGAGGAAGCAGATGTTGGTCTTCAAGGGCAATGGCAGGGACTGTGCTGTAGCAGAAGGTGTTACATTGTGGATATAAAAAGGAAAAATACCAAAAAAAAAGTCTTCCTTGTATTTATTTTTTTCTAAAAGGCTTCATCTTTGCTAGTAGGGCTGTTGGAGGAGTTTGGCCTTCAGGAGTTCTCTGGCCATCTGCAGTGTCGCCTCATTTCTGTTCGTGCTGTGAGTACTGACGGTGTTTTGTTCTCCCTGTTCCAAACATCTCCTATTTTTATTTTCTTGTGTTGCTGGATTTACTAAAAACCACGGCTATGCTGTCACAGAGCCTGAGCTGTTTCTTTTTCTGCTGATGCCTCTTGGAGATTTGATTTGGAAAATAAACGCCAAGCCCCACCCCAGCTGCCAGCTCCTTATTTCGAGACCCGCCGGGAGGGCTGGGGGCGGCCTGGCCCCTGCGGGAAGGGGAGGGAACTACAACTCCCGGCGTGCCCCGCGCCCGGCTCCATCCGGGCCCCGGCCGGTGCTGCGCCGCCATTACGGGGCGCTGCCGTTGGTGCTGCCCGGGGGGCGGCGCCGTTCAACGGGCGGGGCCGGGCCGCGGGGGCGGGCCTCGGGCTGCTGCGGGGCGCTGAGGGGCCGGGGGGTGCTGCGGGGCCCGGCTCGGGGTGCCCAGCCTGGGTGTCCAGGCTGCTCCGTGAGGTGTTGGGGGCCATGGGGGAGCAGAAGGCGGTGATCAAGGACACGGACATGCCCGAGGAGATGCAGCAGCAGGCCGTGGAGTGCGCCGTGCTGGCCATAGAGAAGTACAGCCTGGAGAGAGAAATCGCCGCCCTGATCAAGAGGGTAAATGTCTGCTGCTGCCTGCCCGTGCAGCGCTGTGTGGGCAGCAGGAGCCCAGCGGGTGGCTGTTGGCACACCGTCTGGAAAAGCCAGTTCCATTCACACGAGATACGTGGGGCTGTGGGCTCACTTCCCGCAGTTCCCCCAGCCCTACACATCCCCTTCCTGGTTCTGCCCCTTCTCTTTTGCAATGCCTTCATTTTAAGCTGTTGGCTCACCAGCCTGGTGCCCGGGGGAGACCGGAGAGAGTCTGACCTGTCCCACAACTGCTTGGTAGAAACCAGTGGGTTGTGCATTTAAATCCGCTGGAGCTTTTTCCACTGTTTTCACCTACCACTTAAATTTTGTTCAAGTGGGCCTTAAGGTTCCACTCATGTTTCTGTAGTAGTTGTGCAGGACTGACTAGCTGCTTCAAAATTTGCAGTTAAAAAGTATTTTTCTGCAAAACTTTTTGTATTTGTGCCCCCTTTCTATGTGCTGACTCCTGCTAAAAACCTGAGTCTGAGGGCACTGTTAGGTATGTGTGAAAGCGAACAATCCCTGTGCAGATCTACTTCTGATACAGTTTTGGCTTTACCAAATGGAGACATCTAAGGGTTCTCTGGATCTGAGCAGTACACCTGTTGGAAGCTCTTTCAGGTAAATAGTGCTGGCACATCTGTTGGGGACGTCTTCCTTTCTGCCATCCTAACAGAGCTACCAGTGTTTTTTTTTTCCATTTGCAAGAAATATGAACTTTGTTAGTGCAGATCAGAGGGGTCGGTTCACAGTTTGTCAGATTTTCCACGTGGCTCCTGGTTGGAACCTGAGCAGAGCGCTTAGCCAAGGTTGCAATACCTGCTAGAAATGCTTGCGTGCTCCCACAGAGTTTCCTCGTTTGAGAGCTGTTGGATATGACAGCATCTGATTGCCGACCGGAATGTTCTGCCTTTAATAGACCTGTATGAATATATACATATATATAAAGTGTGGCAGGCTCCGGAGTGTGATGGGACGGTGGCAGAACACAACTGCATGACCTGAAACTTAACAGGTGTAGCGTGAGGTCGTGGTTTGACATTTTTGGGGAAATCCCTGCGGTTACGCCTGCTCAGCTCGGAAGCGCTGAGGTATTTTTTGTTTGTTTCTTTTGTCCAAGCAGCCAGCGAGCTGTGAGTGGCCAGTAACAGCCTCAACAGCTCCTGCTGCTTCTGAGCCGCCTTTCCAAAAGCGAGATTTGTGGGGTGCAGACAATTCCTAGCGGTCTTTCCTGCAGGAGTTCGAGAAGAGGTACAGCCCCACGTGGCACTGCGTCGTGGGGAGGAAGTTCGGCAGCTACGTGTCCCACGAGACCAAGCACTTCATCTTCTTCCTCGTGCGCGGCCTCAACGTGCTCCTCTTCAAAGCCGGCTGAGCCGCGGGCTGCTCACGGAGCCGCACCTCCCTGAGCAGAGACCTGGGCACGGGTGACGTGGGGCCATCCCTGCTGGTTGTGCTGCGTTTAGGGGAAAAACAGCCCCCAAAGGCCTCTGTATTTATTTTCTTTCCAGAGTGAGCTTCTCAGCTAATAAAAATGTTATGTTTTAGGAGCTTTAGGGCTGTTTTAAGAGCTTTATGGCTGTTTTAAGAGCTTTAGGGCTGTTTTAAGAACTTTAGGGCTGTTTTAAGAGCTTTAGGGCTATTTTCTTTCTTCCTAGCGAAGTTTGCCCCCTGGGTGCCGCCCCCAGCCCGTGCTGCAGGGGGCGCTGCGGCCCGGCCCGGCCCCGTTGCCATGGCGACGCGTGGGGGGCGTGCCCGGCTGGAATCGGCCCCACTGCCGGGTGTCCGCCGCAGCCAATGAGCGCGCGGAGCGGCGGCGGCGGCGACCAATCGCTGGCGGGCGGTGAGGGGAGGGGGCGGGGCTAGAGCCATAAAGAGGCGGGCACGGCGCGAGCGGGACCGTTAAACGGGCGGCGGCGGGGGCGAGGTGTGGAGCGCGGGAGGGAAGCGGCTGCGGCTGGCCCTGAGGGGGCCCTCCCGTGACCGGGGTCGGTGTCGGGCGCGCAGCAGGGGCCATGGGCGAGCAGAAGGCGGTGATCAAGGACACGGACATGGCGGAGGAGATGCAGCAGCAGGCCGTGCAGTGCGCCCTGCGCTCCCTGGAGGAGCAGGGCGTGGAGTTCGACGTGGCGGCGCGCATCAAGAGGGTAAAGGGCCGGCCCCGGCGCCCTGCCTGACCCCCGGGGGGGGGCCGTGAGTCCCTCGTGTGCCCCGCGGGCGTGCTCTCGGCGTTCTCCCTCCCCTTCTTCCTTCACGACCCCTTCCAGCCCTTCCCTGCGCTCCCCAGCGGTCTCTCCCGCAGGAGTTTGACAGGAAATACAACCCCACGTGGCACTGCGTTGTGGGCAGGGATTTTTCCAGCTGTGTCACTCACGAGACCAATCACTTCATCTTCGTCTACCTGGGTCACCTCGCTGTGCTGCTCTTCAAGTGCGGCTAGAGCCGCGCACCGCTCCCCCGGCTGTCCTCTCGTGACCCAGCTGCTGCGTGCTGACCCACAGCCCGGCGCCTGCGGCCTTACCGAGGAAGCAGATCTTGGGCTTCAGGGGTGACAGCAGGGATTGTGTTGTGGTGATGGGTTTTCTTATTGTATCTGAGGGGAAGATAGCAAAAATAACCATTCCTTGTGTTAATTTTTTTTTCCTCACAGTTTCTTTGCCGATAAAAAATGTTGTTCTGCCTTTGAGAGTTTTATGACTGCTTTATCTCTTTCATCTCTTTCTCTAGTGTTGCTTGTGCTACTTATTTCCCTGTGAGTGTGAATGACTGGCTTTCTGACAAAATCCTTTCTCAAATCCAAAACACATAAGCATTGTGGTATCCACACTCATAACTTCATCAAGGTATCTAAGAATAATAAATCCCAGTTACGGACAAACAGCAGCTAAAAGCCCTCTTACATGGCTTCTGTTAGAGGGTTATGTGTTAGTTCTGTCTCTTTGTGTCCTGCTTTTTTTTTTTTAATTATTTTTTTCTTTTTGGTAAGAAACCTGAGAACTGCCGTCCCAGTGAATTTGGAGTTCTTGCCCCCAAAATAATGGGAAAGGGATCAGCAGATATACTCTATGGGTGTGGGTGGTACATGGATGCTCATTAAAATACATTTAGAATCTCTGTTGCCTTTGAAATATTAAACTTTTTTTTTTTGCTTTGAAGGAGAAGTTTGGAAGTTTGAAAGTTAATAAAGTCCACAGATAACCAGTGTTACGATGCGGTGGTGGAATGTGATCCTTCACGCCCTCTCAGACTCTGCTGTTCACACACTGACTCCCGGTGCTGCCCCATGGCGCCTCCCTAAGACGTAGCAGCCCTTTTATTCCCCCTTTTCCCCCCCGTTTTTCCCTTTTATCCCCTTTTTTCCCCCGTTTCCCCCCATGACCCTTCGCCTACATCTCCCAGCACGCCCCGCGCGGCAGCCCTCGCGGCCCCGGCATCCCTCGCGGCCCCCCAGTCCCGGCGCGCCCCGCGGGGCCCGGCTCCATCCGGGTGCGGGCGGAGCTGCGGGCGCCTGGTCGCCATTACGGGGCAGCGGCGGCGGCCGAGCCGGGGCCGGGGCCGGGGCGGCGCGGAGCAGCGGGGCTGCGGGCGGCGCCGGGCGGCAGGGCAGGGCCCCGCGGGGCTCCCTCCGTGGCTTTTTCCCCCCGCGCGGCTCGCCCGGAGCCCCTCCGAGCCGGCCCGGCCTCCCGCGGCCTTCCCCCGGTTCGAGCGGAGCGCCGAGAAGATGTCGCCATGAAGGAGGCCGAGGCCGCGCTGCGCCGCCCCCGCCGCTCCCCGCCGCGGGCCATGAGCCTGGGCCCCCGCCGGCTCCGCCAGCGCCCGCCGAGCCCCCCACCCCCACCCGCCCAGGGCCGCCCCTCGCCCGCCGGGGCGCCCGTTGATGCTGCAGAGCCCGCCCGGCGCCTCCCCCGCCTCCGCCCCCGCCATGGACAAGAGCAGCCCCTGCGGCTCCGGTGCGCCCGGCTCCTCGGCCGGCGGCAAAGGGCAGCAGCCGCGCTCCGCATCGGCGGGGCCCGCCGCCGGGGAGTCTAAGCCCAAAGGCGGTGAGCGAAGGGGGGGGAAAGGGGGGAAGGGGAGGGAGGGAAGGGGCCCGGGGCAGCCACGGGAAGGGAGCAGCAGCTGGCTCCGGGCACCCCGGTGCCTCTGCCGGGTGGGTGGCGGAGCCGAGCTGCCTCCCCCCTGCTGCGGTGTTTGTTTCTCAGCCGGCCCTTGGTAGGTTTCCCTTCGGGTCACCGCTGGGGTTTGCTTTCCTCTTCCTTCCTCTTCCAGCCCTGTTTCCTGTTTGGTGAGCTGCGGTTCCTCTTCTTTCTGAAGGGGCACGTTTGATTGCCACTAGCTTTGGAGTAATCAGTTTGAGAGCCAAAGCTCTGATTTCAAACGTATTTGCCTCTCCCTGTTAAGAGGAGCCTTAACTTTATCTTGGTCTCCAGCTGAGTGCAGTGCTCTGCCCTTGCTTGAGGAGGTCCCGCAGCACACCCGGCATTCCCATTGCAGGCTGTATTTTGGTAACTTATTTTGGAAGGGTTCAGAGTGCACGTTACTTGCTTATCTGGTACTTTAATCAAAGTGTTGCAGCTGTCAGAGCAAACAGCCAGTTTTGCTGACAGCGCGGGTCGTGATGAGCCATTGTGGGCCCTGTCATGAATTTTTTCAAGGTAAGACCTAAACCGCCTCCAGTTCCCTAAGGCTGATCGGGAGCAGAAAGTTCCTGGCACCCCTGCATTCTTTTCAAAACCTAAAAATGGGGCAGTAGTGCTTGAAAGAAGCGGGTTTAGCCCCAGAAGCATGAGGAGACTGCCTACAGGTTGCTACAGCACCATTGCGGTACTGATTCCTTCCTCAGTGCTTTGTTTCTGTAACACTTAGGGTGTTCACAGAGGGTTAACAGTGTTGGTATCTGGGAGGTGTTGCAATCTGGAATGGATTTGAAATCTTTTGGCATCAGTAGCAGGATTTCATGCAGGGCTTTTATTACTGGTAGCCAATGTTGATGTTTTTCGGTCTCTTATTTCCATTTTCCATGGCCAGGCCACTGGAAGCAGGGGATGCCGGGTGCTAGGCATGCAGTGGGAGTCCTTAGAACCAGGCTTCAGCCGGGATAACAAAGCGTATCAGCTCTGTTTATGTTACGGCAGGCGGTGTGAAAGCCTGGCAGGCCCGAGGCTTTCCCGTTGCAGAGGGTTTCTGACCCTGCCTTACCACGGGGCACCTCGGAAGGACAGCGCTGCCTTAGTGGCGTGAGGAGGGAGGGCAGCTCACAGGACGGGAGCGCTGTTCAGCAGGGGAGGTGAGGGGCCTGTGCTGTGCTGGTGGGCCTGCGTGTAGGTGAAACAATACCTGGAGTGAGGAAGGAAATACAGGCTCTGACATTGCAGCCCCAAATGGGAGGTTATTAAAGGATTCCTGTGGGTTGCCACATTTCACAGGCTTGAAGCAAGGTCACAAGTTGAGGAGGAGCAGTGAGGGTATAAATCATGGTGCTTGTTGCTGTTCTACTCCAATACAATAGACTAATTTTTAATTAAAAAAAAAGTTATTTTGAAGACTTCTTTTTAAACACAACAGAATGATTTGGCATGGCACAGTTTTGCCTCTGAGATATTTGTTTCTTAACTGAAGCGGAGGGAGAAGTGATCTGGGATGAATTGCTACCCTTACAGTGCATCGAAGAGTCCTTTTAAAAACAGGACCTGTTCTCGTAGACATGTTTTTGGGAGCCTCTTCGCTGCAGGGTGCTGCAAACTAAAATGAGAAGGGGCACTTGGGCAGGTGAGCGCCAACAACCATGGGCTGAGCATCCCGGCTGCGGCGGTGCCAGTGGGTGGGTGTGTTTTGGTGGCTGTTGGGCTCAGGGCGCTGGCATGTCACCGCACAGGATTTCTGTCTCCTGTTCCTTATCCACCTGGAAGCGGCGTGGCTGCCTGCAGCTGGTGTGGCCCGCCCGGTTTCTCCCCTGTTTCAGGAACTGTACAGGAGGTGCTCTGAAAACTCTGAAGGCTCTCTGTCCTGGGGAAATTGTGCTCCAGCTACCTGTTGGGCTTGGTCTTAGAAACTAAATTGAACTCAGAACTTTCCAACAGAAAAAGTATTATTTTTTTAGTTCTAATAGTGAGCCACTAGGAGTCCCATCCCACGGGGATGAAATCGAGTAGCAAAAGGAGAAGTGCCTTGCTGGGTTTCTGCTCAGTCCTTGGGACCTGACGGACAGAGGAATTCTTGTAGACATTCCTGGGCCTTCTTATTACAGCGCAAACAAGCTTTGCCAGGGCGCGTGGCTGCTTATTCACCCCTTGCTCACCGGGACATTTTCCTTAGCAGCACAAATCTCTTCGATGTGCTTTTGTGCAAATGCCCTGGGGGCTCAGCACAATCCCTCACCCAGCTCCCCCTGTGCAGGACGATTTGCTCGAATGCTGCTCAGCTGAAGACACAAAGATGGAAGGGAAGTGCAGCAACCAGCACTGCAGCTCCAGGACCAAACTGGGTGCCTGTGGCTGCTGCCTTTAGGCCCGAGAACTTGAACTCCCCTGGAGGTGGAGGTCCTCTAACAGAGGTGGTGTCCATCAGGAGAACCCCCAGGTTGTGGGGCTGGCTCCGAAAGGCAAGGACAGCTTTGTTGCTGGTGTTATAAAATCACATGGACACTACTTTGTAAGTTTTCTCTTGGAGTGTGAACGGGTAAAAATGTTACAGGTTCAGCTTTGTGAAGTGCAGAGGGGCTAATTGAGGACCTGAGTCAAGAGTGAATACCTCAGCAGTGCTGCTCTTTAATAATTTGCCAAGAAGTGGGAAGAGAACCCCCCAAACCCAAATGGGGGGAAGAAAAGAGGTGGTCCAGCTTACAAACACTTATTTCAAACTTCTGGTCGTCAGTTGACTCCATTGCTACGCTGATGGCCCAGAATCTCTAAAGTAATCCTAAATAATTACTCTGGGTGTACTGAAATCAGTAAAATCAGGTTTGTGTTTTCAGACTGTCATGTGAGGCCCTTCCTAAGGAGGGCACAGGCGGAGAGGACTTCCCTGTGAAATTAAGAGTCCTCACAGGGGCTCGCAGAGGCTCTCAGAGCCTGTCTGAAGTGGTGCAGCATGCCAGGAATGTGTGTAAACCAGCTGGTGACAAGTTGGTGCCTTTGATGGTGCTTAACTTGATGAAAACAGCAAGGGTTAGGAAATTCTCCTGTTAGCTGCAGGTACAAGCTGCCCTTGGACCTCGTGAAGGATCATCTGAACCTGCTTCAGGCTGAGCGTGTCCTCTGGAGTTGTTTCCAGTTCGTGGTTGCAGAGGAGCTGCCAAGTCGCTATGGGCACAGTGGGATTGTGCCTCTCTAGGGTGTGCACTGACTGCAGGGATCAGAGGGTGGCTGAGCCCTGGAGTGCCAGGCTCTGCTCACAGTGAGCAGCAGCAGTGCTCTGAATCCCTCCTAAATGCCTGAATTTGTGACCGGAGCCTCAGGGGGGGTGTTGTAGCCTCTTTCCCACAAACACTCTCAAAAAAAGGTCTATCTGAATAATCACCAAGCCAGACCGGGTTACACCCTGAGCGCTTGGCAGCTTGTGGTGTGTTTTTTTCCTGATAACACCGAGCCCAAGTGCTGCAGCCCTGCAGGCTGTGGGGCTCAGCACGGCTGTGGTTCTTGGGGATTGGTTTAGTTCTGAATTATGGGCTCAGGTGACAAAATCTGCTTGCAAAATGACTGTCACATCACGCAAAAGCAGCAGGAGGCTCCTTTGACTTCTGTAGCTCCAGTTGCAGGTGTAGATTGGGGTCTGCCATGAGCAGGAAGCAGCAGACCCGCTCCGAGCCCAGCCACGGTGCTCTGATGGAGCAACTTACTACGTGGTTGGATCCTCAGTGGTGTTCAGTATCGCACAGACCTTCTGCTCCTTGTCTTGGGGGTGTCGGTGGGACAGAAAACTAAAAGTAACCAGAAAAAGGGAGGCTGTGAGGGGTCCCGTTCCAGCTGCTGTGACCGCTCAGGAGGCAGTGCAGGGGAAGGGCCGAGCTGGAGGCACTGGTGATGAAAACTGCCTGTGAGTAACGCGGCCAGCAGTTACGGGACGTGCCTGTTGCCACACAGGACTTGCTTTAAGGGGTGGGGAGGACTACGACATGGGAAGGGAGAAACTAGCAGGCCTTTAGGGACAGGGTCAGGATGTTGTAACCAGCGTGAGGCATTGGTGTGCGTAACGCTGGGTATCTGGGGACGGCCGGGGTGCACAGAGCTCTGGCTGGGCCTGGGGCATTCACCTGCCTGGTTTCTCAGCCTGACTCCTGTTAGAGCTGGAGCAGCAGCTGGTGGGAGCACGAGGTCAGCGGGTGGGCGAGCAGCCTGTGGAGCTGAGACCCCTCTGATGTTGGGTTGAGGCTGTGAGAAGTGTCTTCATAGCCCTCATGTACTGTGCTAGCAGCCTAACCAGGCAGCTGTTTCCATGCAGGAAACGCCTCTCAAGATCCTGACGGACTTTCCTGCTCTCGTGAGCCTTGATCCTGTGGTGTTTTGCTGTGTGCTTCCCCTCTGTTCCCCGTGCCGTGGCCACGGCTGTGCGCAGCTCCTCGCTGCCAGGGTGGGTGGGCTTGGTGCTCTGGAACTGGGTTTGTGCCCCGCGAGGCCAAAGCTCTGGGCTCATCCCTCAGGATTGATCGGTGTTTGTTGGTTTTACGAAAGCAAGAGGGGGTTTTTAGAAGGGAATTGGATCTGTTGGGGACTTCTAAATGTAGGGGTGGGACTGAGTGAAAACAGGCAGCGGGGTCCTGCCAAGTGGGAGGCTTCAAGACAAACGCAGGCCGCAGTGTTTATATAAGGACATCCAGCATATTTATGTAGGATATTCAGCATATTTATATAGGGTATTCAGAAAGGGAATGACAAATGGCCCCGCTCCAGAACTTGACAACAGCTGGGTGTGAGGCTGTAGCGCTGGGGTTTGTCACTTGTCACACAGGTGACACCTCAGGCCGCTGTCTGGTGACGGCGACTCCAGACCTGGATGAAGCAAACTGAGGTGCTCTAAGAAATACAAAGCACAGCAAATAAATCCTTTCATGCTCTTTGACCAGCTCTTTGGACAGTAACAGGAGTGAAAGGGTTTGTGGGCTGCAGGAGACCTTGGCATAGCCGTGAGCCCTTTGAACAGCACTGGCACCAGGTGCTGGGCCGACAGGCCGTGCTGCCTGCGGGGCGCTGCGCGTGCGGCGAGCTGGGGCTGCCCGTCTGATCCTTGTTTTCTCTTTCAGATGGAAAGAATGCGAATGGATCCAAGCAGCGTTATAACCGTAAAAGAGAAACTGCATATTCCAAAAATGAGAACTTTTCCAGTCAGTCCCGTCGCTCCAATTCACAGAAAAGCAAAGCTTTTAACAAGATGCCCCCTCAGAGGGGAGGTAGCGGCGGAAGTGGCAAACTTTTTAGCTCTTGTAATGGTGGAAGACGAGATGAGGTGAGAATTGTAATGCCGTGTCTCCAAGGCCTTCTTTCTTGGGACGAGAGGATCGCTCTGACCTGCCTAGATAGGTCTTCTGTATTCAGCTCCTGGGCTGGGAAGGGAAGGAGCGATAAGAGGTGCTAACATCGTTGAGATGCCACATTGAGTGTGAGCAGAACAACTTTGCAACAACAGAAGAAGAGTGCTCTCTGCTCTGAGAGACTTGCCATAAAAAGGAACAGTAAAACTAGTGGAAATGCCACCTGAGGAATGGGTACCTAGGCAGGCCACGTGCATATCTCAGGAAACAAAGGTTCTTCATGAAAATCCATAGTGATACACTTCCTAGCTTTTAAAAGTCCGGGATGATTGTGTCTAAGCACTTGAGTGTACAAATTTGCACGTGGTAGTGGCATTGGGAAAGTAATCAAATTAGCGTTGGTGACATCAAGATGGAGTAAAACCAGACCGGGGCTGCTTATACTGCTGTGGGTATGAATACTGTAGATCACTGGTGGGTTTGCATTGATACAGAAGTCATTGATTTTTTTCAGTTCTAGTGGATGAGCAAAGCTGCCTGCCTAAAATGCTAACTCTGTCAAAACTCACTTGCTGTCTCTGTTCAGTCCTCATTCTCTGCTTTGTTATATGGAAACTAACTACAAACAAGTATTATTTGTGCAATAGTAGCCAAATGTATGTTACTGGCCATATAAAAGAATACTGCCAGGATCTCAGCAACTTTCTTCTGTTATTAACCTCGACTACTAGGTATTGTTGGCTTTTACTTGTCGTTATTTGGGTTGTTTTTCTGCTCTCCTCCAATTCATCCGTGTGGGGTAAGACCACTCAGTTCTAACTTCCAGGTTCTCATGCACTTTGGCTGCAGTGCTTGATTTGTGGAATGGGAGTAGGAGAAGGTGAGTCGGAGGGTGCTGCATATTCTGCACATGATCACTGCTGGGGCCTGGGTATCAACTTGTACTGATGCTTTTGCAGTAAATTCTAGCAAGTTCTAATAAATGCTGTTGTCTCTTAGGTAGCAGAGGCTCAACGGGCAGAGTTCAGCCCTGCCCAGTTCTCTGGTCCCAAGAAGATCAATCTGAACCACTTACTGAACTTCACTTTTGAACCCCGTGGCCAAGCAGGCCATTTTGATGGGAATGGACATGGCAACTGGGGGAAAAGGAACAAGTGGGGACATAAACCTTTCAACAAGGAACTCTTCCTACAGGCCAAGTGAGTGGAAGACTAGCAAGGTTCTCAGACCTCTACAGAGACAGTAAGCCGTAAGGAACAATCGGCCAGGGAATTGTTTGATCTTGAATACTCTTCCAGGGTGAAGTTACTTCAGGTGTTTTTAATACTCATTACTGTACTTGAAAGAGAAAAAACATATGAAGTTCTCTTCTTTACCTATTAACAAGGTATCTGGTTGACTGAGTCTTTTGGACATAAGCCAGTTAGTCTTCTGCCTTACTTTTCCAGCATTGTTTGTGGAATATGACACTCCGTTTGGGAAGACTTACGTAGTTCCCTTATGGAAAGTTAACATTTCTTCCAAAAAAATCAGCATGTTGAGATGGTAGGGGCAGTGGTTGCTGGATTAAAGCTAATCTGAATTTAAGTGCCATAAGCGATTACTCATATGGGTCTCTTAATTCTTAAACTGCTGCTTCAGGTTGGCTTCACATCACAGGTCCCTAAGTAATAGTAACCCAAACAGTGATCAGTATGGTAATCCAGCAGCTGAATTTCTTTTGACTGGTAGTAACGGTCACTTTCACTAGAATTTGAAGTGTGTCAAGGACTTCCCATATCTGATCACGTTAAATATAATAAAAACTATTTTCAGTGTTAATGCTTCTGATTTTTCCCTATTGATTTGTGACTTGATTTTCACTTATTGTAGCAAAGTCTGCTTACAGGAACTGTAGTAGTTCTAATTCTTGTAAGCATGCTCTTTCCACTTGTGGATTCCCTGTTTTTAAGAGATCCCTGATGGAGCTGGCTCTGTTTGTTCCATTTTTTTTCTGGAAAACCATTCTGCCCGGCTCGCTCTGTAGGTAGTATGCGATGCTGTGTCTAACTGAAATTAGACATATCTGTATTCTGGGAATCTGGTTGTGAACTGAACTCTGTTGGGTTTTGTTGGTAGAAGTTTCCAAACTGTGTCCAGTAGCTTTCTGCTGGCCAAAGAAGAAGCTCTGAGAATCCTATGGGATAGTTCTCCAAGAGTTTTTAGAAACAACTGAGTGGATCATCTGTCTCTTTGCCTTTCCCCAGCTGCCAGTTTGTTGTCTCTGAAGAACAGGACTACACAGTCCACTTTGCTGATCCAGATACCTTGGTCAACTGGGACTTTGTGGAGCAAGTGGTCAGTTGTGATGGGCTAGATTTTTTTTTGTCTTATTAAGAAACTCAGTCTGTCTTTAACTGCTTCTTTGTGATGTTACGTAAAACTCAGCTGTTTCTGAGCTTCAGGCCTTTTCTGTCACTCCCACAATACTGGGAATGATCTGTCATGGAATATATTATGAAGTACTTTGATGACAGGAAAAGAGAAGTGTTAAAATCTATTAGGAAAATTAGCAGCTTCTTCTTGCTTTCGCAGATGGGAGCTCATCAAAAATAGTATCTGACATTCTGTAGACTCAGTCCTTGTGATTGAGATATTAACAGAAAACTTGGGCATGAGTCCATGAAAGAGGACTAGAGTGTAGAATTTTGAAGAATTATCTTGTGCATAAGTGGCCCATCTTGCCTAGCAACAAAGTGGAAAATCTCCTGATAATTGTGGCCAGAACTTTGGGTTACCTGAAGTAGAAACTTAGTCTGTGAAGACTAGTCGTCGTGGCTGGTGTAGCTGGTGGGGAGGTACATTTACTGTTACCTGACCCTATGAGAGAACTGAAAAATCAGGTGCTTGGTTGGCTGTTTTGTCTCTGCAACATACAGATGCTAACAAAACATCTGACTAAACTAGAATGTTCATGAAATTAGGTAAGTTCAGTCTCTCAGTTAAACAGGACTGCACAAATGTGCTGGTGTGAGGTGACAGTTCATTTGCTGACTTCTTGTCTGAATTCAGATGATGATAATGTTGCTAGCTCTTAAGTGATGACAAATACAAGAGGGGAAAACATGAGAATAGTTGCTCATTAGAGTAAAAATAGATGGGTTGGTTTTGAAGGCTATTCCACATATTGACCAAAATGGTTATTTAGTTCATGGTGTACTTAATTTCCTGGTAAATAAGCAGAACCTGAAGAACTGGAAGATTAATATATTAGAGTAGATCTTACAGGTTTAGTTTCTGTGCCACAGAATGATTTCCAAGTCTATAACTTGTACTATTCCTCTCGTGTGCTGTTTCAGCGAATTTGTAGCCATGAAGTACCCTCTTGCCCAATCTGTCTGTACCCGCCTACAGCAGCAAAGATCACCCGCTGCGGGCATATCTTTTGTTGGGCATGTATCCTTCACTATCTCTCCTTGAGTGAGAAAACCTGGAGTAAGTGCCCTATTTGTTACGGCTCTGTTCACAAGAAGGATCTTAAGAGGTGAGGCTTGATATCTATTAAATGATATATATCACTGAAATACTATTTTTACCCTGTAAAAATAATAACCTCCTCTTTACGTTGCAGTGTTATTGCTATGGAAACACGCCAATATGCAATTGGTGATGTCATTACGATGCAACTTATGAGAAGAGAGAAAGGTGTTCTGATAGCACTGCCCAAATCTCAGTGGATGAATGTGGTACAGCCTGTTCACGTTGGAGGTGAGTGTCTGAGTACTGGTGCTTGGCATCCTGCTCCTAACTGGCCTGGATTTGGCTAAAGATTTCCCATGGCAGTGCCATGCTGCTGTCTTAAAATAGTTCAGACCACAAAGCATGGGTAGCTGAAAACCTTAATGACCACATCTTAATAATAAGCAATCTACCCATACTTTGTTTTTTCTAAGACTTCAACTTGTGTTCTGTTTCCCTTCAAGTTACTGCACTGCAGACTCCTGCCTTCTCAATTTTTGTTATAGCTTGATGTGCATTTTTGCTGGTACAGTCATTGGTGTCATTCTCGCTGCTTCTGTTGGCTCTTCAGTGTCCTTAACTTTTGCCTTCTGGCTCCTCATTCTACAGCTTAACAAAAATAACTGTGTCTAAGCTATTTCAAGGATGTATTCTTCAACACGGTTTTCATCATCTTCACTTATCAACTAAGATCTGTGAACGATTTGGGGAAATAGTCAAAATTATTGCAAACCTATTCCAAACATCTGTTGCCTGACTTCTACAGTTTTCTCCAGTCAAGTACTGTGACTAATGCATCATCATCTTATCTGTTGGTATCATGAAAATTTGGTGACTAAAGAAATAATTTTACTTAGCGTTGCTGTTTTGTGGGCTGTCTTGGCTCGCTTCATTTTGCAGCCGCATTTGCAAAAAGCTGTATGTGTTCAAGCTCTCTGTAAAAAGTCGAGTCTGCTAACTCACAATGGGCATCCAGCACGCAGAGCGTGTGCTTACATGTCCCTCAGCCTTTTAAAATAAACGGCTTTAAATCCTATTATAAAACAACAAACCCTTCTCTCCTTCGATGCAGTACTGGATTTGAGATCATTCCAAACCCAGAAACCTCACCGTTAATGGGATGTTTTGTAGACACTGTCCTTAAAAGAGGTTGGACCCATAGGTCCAGTGAATATGTATGCAATGTGATTCTGTACTTGCTGTAAAGCTTACAGTTAAGACAAGTGCTCTAGTAACAAGATGACTACATTTTGCTGGACCTTGGAATTCTTTAGTTTATCTACTATTTCTGCTGTGCTTCCTGTAGAAGACTAATAATGTTCTATACAGGTTTTGAATATATAAGGGTTTATGAATTAGTTTGAGACAAAACAAAGGTAGGTCACTTCTGCAAAACTTTCCAGTTGCAGTATTTTTGAGTATAGAGAGAAGAAGTTTTCAGGAAGCTTTGACCATCCAGAGCTTCAAGGGGGGGTGATACTTCCACAAAAAAAAAAAAAAAAAAAGGGAAACTTGGACTTGAGTTTTGAAGCTTAGCAACTGAGTTGTGGTAAACTGCAACTTCAGGGAGATCCGTGCAGCAGAGAAGGTACGTGGCACGAGCTTGTGTCATCAATGGTATAAATATGCAGAGTTTGTATCAAACTCTTTCTAAATATTGTCCACTTGGCAGTGGATTAACTCAAAGTTGAGCCGTAATGGAACTTCAGAAGAAATGGTGGTTCCTGATGCCAGTTCAAACTGGTGCCTCTACCCGAAGATATTAATGGTTTGGTGCTCCTTCTGTTCAGATGACCAGCACAGCCAGTATTCCAAACTGCTTCTGGCATCCAGGGAGCAGGTCCTGCAGTTGGTGATTCTGGAGGAGAAAGCAGCGTTACTAAAACAGTATGAGGAGGAAAAACACACCCCGGAGGCATGCTTTATTGAGGCTGCTATCCAGGAACTGAAGGTGAGAACCTCTTGGGATGTTTTTAGTGATGTTATTTTTAACAGCATGTTGAGCATTTATCTTTTGCTGCTTAAGTGGTTGTGTGTGATTATTCTGGTCTCTGTGATGCACGTACTAGCAAGATGGTGATATTTACTGCCAGAATAGCAGTGTGAACCTTGGAGGAGATTGTAGCCCTTGGGCTCCTGGTATCTGATGTGACATTCAAGATAAAAGAACAGAATGCATTTTATTAAATGGTATTCCTCCCAGAAATGTGAAGGAGTTCTCATTTAAAAGGAAGATAGTTTTCCCCTTCAGGTCTAGTAATTCCTGGGATAACTTCTATCAAACAAACATAAGCAAATGTAGATAATATTTTTTATAAAGGAGCCTTTGTGTGTCCTGCAGTGGAAGAGGACTGCCCTTCAATGGTCTGTCTTTGTCACAGATGTATTGTAGATTTATGAAAACCTGATGTATAGAACAAGGCTAAAGATAATTACGGTGATAGTCTCCTGGCTAAAATAGGAGGCTAAAACTTGTTCTCTTTGTATGACCTGTAGGAGCGAGAAACAGCACTCTCTGCTGACAAGGATAAAAGCAGTGGCATTGCTGGAATTAGTGCAGCTGTGGAAGAATTGGTCCTAGACAGCTCCAAGACTACAGAGCCTGCAGTTCTCCATGAGAAAAAGGTGGGTAACAGTTGTGTTTGGGCGGATCTCGTTGATGCCTAGGGCTGCCACTTTACGCTGCAGTGCAGGGTGAACTGATACCAAAGACTTCTGCAGAAATGATCATTTTTGAAAGAGGTGATTGTGGTACTAACTGTATGCCCTCCGTTGTTGTAGTGTGGCATGGAGTATCTCTCTGCATTCGATGAGGAGCTTGTGGAGCCTTGCTCTGATCAGGCAAGTTCCTTTTTGCCTCCTGTGGAATCAGAAGAGGCAGTGCTGGATGAAGAGGAAGTACCTGAGGTGGATACCATAGGGGAACCTGATGTGAAAACTACAGAAGAATTAAATCCAGCTGAAACAAGCTACCAAGAATGTAAAGATACAATTAGCAGTGGACATCATAACAACTCTCCCTTTTACTATTTCTATCAAGGTAAGTGCAATGAAATCCTGGAGTCATGAGGGCAAGGGTGCATCCTTTGGGATCCTTTTTTGGGGAAGACAATTGTCAGGTCAATAAATTCAGCTACACTCTGTGAAATACAACTTCTAGATTTCTAGAAAGGAGTTTTAGTTTCATTACTAGTGAGGTGGGGAAAAGAGTATTAGCAATTAACAGACATAGAACAACTAATGATGTCTTGTCCTACAGCGGAGGATGGACAGTGCATGTATCTTCACCCTGTGAATGTTCGGTGTCTTGTTCGTGAATATGGCAGCTTGGAGAAGAGTCCAGAGAAGATAACTGCAGCTGTAGTGGAGATAGCTGGCTACTCAATGACAGAGGTAATTATTTCATCTTCACGTTCTAGTAACTTGATCTTTGCAGCTGGCAGGTGAGATGTTTCTCCTTGATAATGAGAAATAATTACTGTGAATGGGTAGGCGTGCTTATCTGTGAAGGACATCTGTGTAAGGTGCAATAGTTGAAGTTAATTTTGATAAGCAGACTGTAGTCTAACTTGCTTTCTTCTACTAGAAGGTAGGAAGTTTTAGGAGTAAGAGAACTGTAAGCTTAACGTTGGTTTGTTTTTAAGAGTACCTTGAACTAGGCACATCTTCCTGAACCTAAAGGAGTGTTCTGCAGCATGTCCTCAGCAAACAGCTGCTTCTGAGCATCAAGGATAGAGGTGGGATCTTAGGTAAAATAAGAAGGTGGAAAGTAACTTCAGTGTTTGAGATAGAGGCATCTCTGAGGCAGTGAAGGTGCTTAAGACACTGAAGCTCTAGAAGAGAGAATGGATCTTGAATTCCTTTGCCTTGGATAAGCTATTGTAAGAACTGGCATATGCAGTAACAATTACATGTAATTCCTAATTAATTTTTATTAAAGCATGTGTTTGGGTAAGAATGGATGCAGAGATAGAGAATTCTCTTCAAGTTTGCAAGGAGAAATACGGAACTCACCTTGTTCCCATCAAGTGAAGTGGAAGTTGACAGACAAAAGAATTTAAGTGCAAGGGGCAAATCTAGTCTAGAGCAAGCACAGGTACACCAGAGGACTGGTATTGTAGAGTTTTATTCCAGTGATGTGAAAAGAGAGGAATAGCAAGAAGATCAATAACTGAACTGGAGTAACTTTATCCAGGTATGATTATGGTGTAGTTGGTGGAGGTTTTGGAGCATTTGGTTCTGACTTAAAGCATCGTTCACACTTCAGTAGTTTATAAAATGATTATTGTGTTACTATGCTCTTTTTTTTTTTTTCCCATTTGATGTCATGAAGGGTGAGTGTTGTGTCTGCACAACTATTCATCAGTATGGCACCCTCTAGACCTTGTTGCAATGATGTATCTGCTCTTTTTCTTTTTCTTTTTTGTTCTGTTTTAAATCAGGATATAAGACAGCGTCATCGCTACCTATGTCATTTGCCCCTCACCTGTGAGTTCAGCATTTGTGAACTGGCTCTGAAGCCACCTATCATCTCTAAGGAGACTTTAGAGTTGTTCTCAGGTTGGTACTGCTTTACTAGCCTCTGTTAGTGGATCTGTGGGGATGAAGTGGGAGCATTTCTCCCTTAATGGCAGAAAAAGGAACATAAGGAGCAGCTTTACTCCTCTTTCGTCAACTGTGTGATGACTGTTTAGTCAGAACAACCCCTATTCACTGCTGTAATGACAACAATTACTCAAAGAATAAAAAGACCTGACTGCTTGGAAGAGCATATGTTGTTTTGTAAGCATGTCTTGTTGCTAATGTGTTATAACTGAACATGATCACAAAGTAAAACATTGCCAAAGTATCGGTGAGGTTCTTTTATATCCGATGTTGTGTGTTGCTCCTAGATGACATTGAAAAGAGGAAACGCCTACGGCAGAAGAAAGCTCGTGATGAACGACGACGTGAACGCAGAATTGAGATAGAAGAAAACAAGAAACAGGGCAAATGTAAGTCTTGCTGGTTGGTTCCCACTCATCTGTTGCTGAGCTGGTGTCTTTAGCTATAAGGCCTTTAGTTTGTAGTGTGTGCTTAGAGTGAGATTACAGTGTATTAGGGACAATCTCTGTAGAGTAAAAAATAAAAATAAAAAAAATGCAGTTTTAGGGCATTAAATGATGTTATGCTATTCCTGCATAGTCAGATATTATGGGAGAGAGACAGCACTCGAGGGCAACACTATTTTTCCTTGGTATAAACAGCTCTCAGGATTCTTGATTTCTGTTTTTATAGTAATCACTGTATAGAGTGGAAAGTAAAGAAGGCAAAAAAAAAAATTGCCTGGGAGCTGCTTCCATCCAACAGCAGTGCTTGTACTGGTCTCTAAAATAGCAGATGGAAAGAAAATTTTTGAGCTGGCATCTCCCTGAATCCTGAAACAAGTTGCATATTGACAGTCTTCCCCCACACTGTGTAGTGCTTTAATTCAAAGCCTCTTTCTAGATCCAGAGGTCCATATTGCTTTAGAGAATCTGCAGCAGTTTCCTGCATTTACATCTTGCCATGGAGAAACCAGCACTGATCATCAGAGCTTCTGTCCTTCTCCTCTTGGCAGAAGCCCTGTGTTTCAGACAGGTGAGCATCTGCAAAAAAACTCTTGGTTGTTCTTTGGGGATCTACTACTCAGGTCATCAGACTAAACTTCCTTAATACTGACCAAAAACAACTCTCCTAGATTGCCTGCAAGATCATACACAGAAGACTGAGACTGTTGAGATTCTGTTTGCTTTTTACTGCTTCTATTTTAGTGACAGTGCTAGCTGTGTTGTAGTTACCGTACTGTTTCAATCGTTGCTGAGGCAGAAGAGAGGAAAGGGGATGGGACTGGGGAAAGGCAGAAGAGTGTGTATGCCAGGAAAATACCACTAGCATTTTTTTCTACCTTCTCTATCTTCACCTCATGTTTATTTTACTACAACCATAACTGGTAAGCACTCAGGTTTTTGTCCAGTTACGCTTTACCACGTTTTATCTTGCAGTTCATTTAAAAAAAATAAAATAGTAGAAGCCATTCTTAATGGGTTCTTCAAAACAAGCAAACAAAAGGCACCCCAAAATAATAATGATGATGATGATGATGATAATAATAATAATAAAAATCACCCTGCAAATCTTCCTTAAATAAAAATAGTGAGGAAATTCAGGAGTTTCCACTGTGTGATTAATGGATGGAACTGGTAGGATAAATATGGTTAATTACAGAAAATAGGAAAACCTTTTAGTTTTGTTTCATAACTAGCAGCTGCAGAATAAATGCCTTTGCCAAATGCTGTTGGCTTTAATTAACTGATTATTTTTTTTTCTCTGTAGAGTCTATTCCAACTCCACTGTCACCTGCTGCCAGCCAGGCCAGCCCGTTGCTCTGTGGGAGCTTAGAAGAAGACTCTCCATTCCCATCCTTTGCCCAGGTAAGCCATGTGACAGAGTAAATCTTGTCAGAATTACTGGTGTCGTAGTTGGGGTTAGGTCTAAGAGTACAACTGCTTCCTCACAAAAATGATGTGAGATGAAACTTAGAGACAGCATGGAGTTTGAGTGCTGGAAGGGGCTCCTAGATATTCTTGCCACTCTGGGATATGCAGGATTGTCCTGGTGCCTGGGGTTTAATTGGATCTTACTACTTTTTTTTTTGATAGATGTTGAGGGTTGGAAAGGCAAAACCAGAAACGTGGCCCAAACCTGCTCCAAAGACAAGAGGTAAGAAAACTTGGTATTGCTGTGTTGGCTTCCTTTCTGTGCATCTAAATCTTAAGAAATCTTACAGCTTCACAAGAAACATCTGGAGTGTAGAGAGGCATCTGCACTGCCAAAGTTTTATAAAGCCCTCTCCTTTCCTTTCTTTCAGATGAGAACACTCTGGCACTCCCTGTGCCAGCAGACAGTGATGGGGAAAGTGACAGCTCTGACCGCACGCCTGTGCCCAGCTTTCAGAATTCCTTCAGCCAAGCTATCGAGGCAGCCCTCCTGAAGCTGGACAAACCGTCTGCAGCTGAGCATTTGTCAGGTAAGGGAGGGAGCTGGAGGAGCGTGAAAAATTCTGAAGTAGGAAAAAATTAGTATTTCTCCTTCTGATAGAAGTGAGAGAGGGGATTTGGGGGACCAAAAATCGGCTGCAGAACAGGTCTGAAGAGTATCAGGTTGTGTTTTATGAGCACCTTGATTTGGGCTTCTGTTAGTGGGCGCTGAGATCTCCCACTAGCAAAGAATCCTATTAGGGCAAAGATGTCTTCTGGTCATCATGTTTACCATCTGTGCTGGAACTTAATTTAAGCTTTACCTCAAGGAAATTTAGGTTATATGCTTCAAAGATGCCTAGCCTGCTGAGCAGCTGGACTGCCACTGAAATTTGACCAAAATGTCAAGATACTGCTAACTGGAATTTCAGGTTAGAGAGTCGGAAACAAATTGAGAAGAACTGATAAAACTCATTTATAATGCTTGGTTCTGTTCAGCTTTGGGTTCTCTTTGGAGGCTGCATAGAGTGGTGGAGAACTGGAGGCGAGAGGCAGGGAGTTTCAGTGAGTTTAAGCTCCAGTTGTAATGTTTTTTGGACATGAATGAAAGCAATATCTATCCGAAAGGCAAACCACTGCATGCTTGCAGTCCTAGAATCTGCCGTTGCAATGGCAGCCTTAGAATCAGTTTGGCATGTTTCTAGGTGCACGTAGCTGTGGTAATCTCTTAAGTTTGTCTGCAGTATTTTTTTATAAGCTACTTGTGGTCAGTGAGTTGAGAGGAAGTATCACAAACTGATAAAGTCATTTAGGAAGGGAAGACCATTTATTGTTTCCTGCGTGACGTTCCTGTTCCATGAGAAAAGTGACAATATCATTTTAATTCTTCACAGAGGAAAAGGGAGGCAAGAAAAGAAAGAAACAGAAGCAGAAGCTACTGTTCAGCACCTCTGTTGTTCACACAAAGTGATTCTGCTATTCAAGAGAAGTTTCCTCTCCTGGTTTTCTTTTCCTTTTGCTTTGTTTTGCTGCTAATAGTTTAAGTATTTAAATTTGGACAGACTAAACTTGTGTTTCCAGGGCTTCTAGGGGTTCAGGAGGAAACCATGACAGCGTTATGTTGAAGTAAGATTTCTTTATTCCAACTTACCAAATCGGTTTATACTGAAACAAAGTTTTGAAACAACCCAGACACCATTCAGCCAAGGCTTCTAGTCTGTGCCATGTCAATTCTTTTGGCCTAATAAGCAGTATGAAAGTGTTTACATCTGCGTGGCACTGCCAGCCTGCTGCAGTATTGCCTAAGTGAAGGGGCAGAGAGCCTTTACTTCCCCAGAAGTATTCGTGCGCAGAAGCCCATCTGATTGTGACAGCAGCACTGTTTCAGTAAAGCTGTTAAACTGCTCTCTTCAGAAACTGGTTTCCTCTGAGCTGGGAATGGGCAGAAGAGCTTCCTGGCTTTAAAGTGTTAGCTGCTATCTGTTCTTTTTCTAAAGAGCAAGAATTCCTCCTGTTCTCCTGGCTTTCAAAGACTTAAAGCTGAGGTGAGCGTAAAGCAGAACTTGGCTAGTTGGTTTTGAAGTGACTCTTGCTGAAATTGTGTATTTCAAAATGCATACTGGCACTAGTGGTAGAAGGAACTCCTGGCTTATTGCAGCTGTTCAACTCTGTTTTAATGTGGGTGAGTGAGGCTGCTAGTTTGTTTTTTTTTTCTTTTTTGCCAACCATGGCCAACAAATCCTTTGTAGCCAGATCATCTAGGATGAACACTCCACCCTGGGGCTCTTGGTAGTAACTACACAAATGGTGTTACAACACTGGCTCCTCTTGAAGTGGAAAACCAACTGATAGCTGGAGTCCATAGATATTTTATCCCCTGGCAAGGAACACAGATGGGTTTTTTGCACTGGGCTAAGGGCCTGTATCTGCTTGGTTCTGGGCTGTGAGTTGATCTGCACTAAGCACCTCGGGTTAGAAACATGCCTCTTCTGGACCCCTGCCCCCTCTTATTTTGGGTGGTCGCATTCTGCACTGCTTGTGGTTTGATTTAAAGCTAATGAGTTAAGTGGTGTGGATTTTGTTAAATAAAATGAACTGTAGGTGTAATGTACTAGTCAAGGCCAACAGTTGCAATAAATCATATGCGCACACTTAAAATACTGCAGACTTCTTGAGCTGTAACTTGACCTCTTACATCAACATGGAGCGTAATACCACTTTCAGCAACACATTTAAACCTTAGCATCCCGCATTTCCTTTCAGGGAGTTGGTATGAAGCACCACCTAATTTACAGGGGCAGTTGTTGGGTCTTCTGTTACGTTCAGCCCCACCTGCACCAAGAAGTGAGCTGCCTGCACTCTGAGGTTTTGAGTTGTTCATGTGCTTCCAGTGAGGAGCAGACTGCTCACTGGCACTGCTGGTGTATTCACTGGGTGTGTCCCTATTTTAAAAAGCTTGTCAATGTATTGATGCTTGATTTCAAAACAGTCAGCTGTCTGTTACACAAGTGCTTCCTTAAGGCGTGTGTGCAAGGGAAGCTAGTACCAAGGAGTACACACTTCAAGACACTGTATGCAGCTGTAAACTAGAAAGAAGGGGGGTGACGGGAGGTAAAGAATGTCTCTGTTACTATAGGAGAGAGGAAATGCTTGCAAAGCCTTCTTTGAAAGCAGCTTAATTTCACACTTGGTCACAATTAACTACACTTGATGGAAAGACAGCACAGCTTGTCAAGAGTGCAAAGAAACTAAGACAAGTGCCTAGAAGTGGTAGCACAGCTTGTTAATGCTTCAAACACATAGTGGAAAATGATTGGTGAGGGAATAGAAAGCCACTGAGCAAGAAAGATTCAAGTATGCAGTTAACTGTGTTCACAATGCTGTTGTTTCCTACTTGTAACAGTATTTTTAAGTCATGGAGCAGGAGTTACTACTTAAGTGTCTAACCATTATCTGTTGTTTATTATTCCTACACCTTTATAGTCAACTTTTCTTTGCGGTGGCAAGAGAGAGTAGTTGGAGCTGGTACAACTTGCCTCCACTTCTCGCTAGCACTAGAACAAGGGAAAATCATGCAGGCGAGGAACTGTCCCTTCTGCAGGGGCAGTCTCCGAAGGACAGCATCAAGTTGTATCTCGTTTTCCTATGGATTCAAGAGATGCTACCAGCAGTGCTCCTTTCCTGTAACTGATTGGTGTAATCTTAATAAATATTTAAGCAGTACTTGTACCTGAGTTTTATAATGGGTTGGACAGATGTGAGCCTTGAAGTTCTACCATGGATTCCCTGTAGTTTCTACTGCTGTATACACAAGTGGTGCTTCTGTGCCTCAAAACAATGGATATCCTTCTGAACAATGGATGCGCCTGAAGATCAGGTCCAAAACTAAAAGATGTTAATGCTCTCTCTGTACTGAAGGAGAAAAAATACATTCCTTGTCGGTGCCAGCTGCCTAAAGCTCGCTTCTACCTCAGCATGAAGATCACAGCGAGTTTCTGTGCTCTTTAGTAGTTTTAATTCCTGGAGTAAAACAGACAACCCACTGAAGTGTAACACAATTTAAAAAAAATCAACAAAAAACATTTTATTTTTCAACACCTGGAATGGGGAAATGAAGTCTAAATAGGGACAGGTGCTTTTCCCAGCCCTTGCTTTACTTACAACAGAAAATCATTGGTATCATCATGATTACACCTGTACAGAAGAGAGGTGAATAGTAACAAGTAACATTCAGTCTGTCTCTGTGCCGTCATCCTCATCCTCTTCCTCTTCCTCCTCTCCACTGTGAGACTGCTCTTCTGTAAGGGAACAGCTCAACACCGACTGCCGGATGCGCTGTCTTTCCTCTGCAAGAAAGGGGGCAACACAGGGTCATTCCTTGAGCTCTTCACATGTGTTGGATGTCCTCAACTTGAAAAGAGAGGCCCATTTCTCGGTTGCAGGAGCTGGAAGCAGCCCTGCACCTCCTACAAAAGCTCCAGCAGTTCAGGCTGCTCTTCAGGAAAGCAGCTGGAGGAACTCACCCTCATTTGTACAGTTCTGCAATAACGTCAGCAGCTGTCTTCTGTTATACTGGATTAGGAATTTCTGGCATGACCTTATGGTACCTATCGGAGTCACAAGAATGATATGTAACAAGTTTTGAAACCGTGAAACCAAGTGTTACTATGTAAAGCATGAAGATCTTTGTATCACACAATAAATACCCTGGGTACCACCTTTATTAAGGCAAAGGATAGGATGCGTGTCCACACTGCGCTTCCCCAGTGATGTGATGATGCTAATTTCTAATAAGTAGTACCACCTCCTTGTCCCAAGCGGTTAATTTTCAGGACAGGGACAATGCTATACTTTAAAAACGTGTTTTTTTTTTTTTTTTAAATTAATGTAATGCAGCATTTGCTGCTCTGGTTGCTCGCTGTAATGAAGACTCCTGCAGCATTAATGAGGGTCTGAGCACGGGGGGCTGCTGTCCCTTAATTAAAGCCACCTCTAATGAAGCAGAGTGCCCACCACGCTCCCTCCGGGGCTCACCTCCGACGTGCAGGGTGCTGAGGAAGCAGGGGCAGCGCAGCCCGCGGCTCTCCAGCTGCCTGACGAGCGGCAGCGCCGAGCACAGCAGGCGGTAGAAGTCCTTGCGGCAGCGCAGCAGCACGGTGCCCGTGTAGGCGTTCAGGTACTTCACTGCGGGACCGGCACTGCTCACCACCGGCACCTCGGGGGGGGGGGACCCTTCATCCTCGGGGGTCGCTCTTTCTTTCTGGGGGTCCCCTTTTCTCCTTGGGGAGGGGTCCCTTTCCGGGGGGTCCCTTCCATTCCCGGGGCTCTTTCATCCCAGGGGTCTCCTCCCTCCAGCGGGGCCATTCCCAGGGGGGTTCCCCATTCTCCCTGGGGGAGCTCCTCCCTCCCGGGGGTCACCCCTTCTCCCTCGGGGGGGCTTCCTGAGGGGATCCCTGCCTTTCCCAGGGGTCTTTCTTCCCGGGGGTCTCCCTCCCTCTAGGGGGTCCCTCTTCCCGGGGGGGGGCCTTTCTTTCCCGGGGGTCTTTCCCCTAGGGACTCCCCTCCTGGGACTCCCCCTTTCTTCCCGAGGGTCCCTGTCCCTTCCCGGGGGGGTCCTTCCCTTCCCTCCCGGGGGTCCCCCCTTGTTTTTGGGGTGTTCCCCTTTCCCTCAGAGGCTCCCCCTCCCTCCCGGGGGTCCCTTCCCCTCCCCCCGGGGTCCCTCCGGCCGCCACCTGTGAAGGCCAGCGAGCAGCAGGCCAGCCCGTAGTCCCCGTAGGCCCGCGCGATGGCGTCCTTGACGGCGCTGCCCACGGCTCGCTCCTCGATGCAGGACCGGCCCCGCGGCTCCTCGGCCACCACCTGGCACAGCACGTACCTGAGGGGGCCGCCGGTTACCGGGGGGGGCCCGGCCGGGCCCGAGCCCGGCCCCGCGCCCTCAGCCTCACCTGTTCTTGAAGCGAACCATGCCGCCGCCGGACCGACGTGGCTCCCAGCCAATGGGAGAAGCGCCTCGGCGCGCCGCAACCAATCGGCGCCGCGCGGAGGCGGGGTCAGAGGAAGGACTTCCCGTCCTGACACCTCCCCGGCGGCCCTGCCCTTTCCTCCAGGTGCTGGCTCTGCGCATGCGCCTTGTGTGCCGCCCCCCCCCAACCCCTCCGGGGCGACCCCGCCGCCTTCCCGGCAGCCCCCGCGCGGGGGCGCGCGAGGCGCGCGGTGCCCTGAGGGGACCCTGAGGGGACCCTGAGGGGGCGCAGGGTGGGCAGAGCCGTGCAGCCTGCTGAGGGCTAATTAATTAATTAACTAATTAATTTTTATAAAGCAGGCTCAGCTCCCGGGGCTGTGTCCCTTCAGTCTCCCTGGTCTGGTGCTTTTGTGCCTCATTACCGTCAGCCCAGCCGTCCCAGGAGGGCTCCTGCCCCTCGGTGCCTCACGGAATCGGCTCCAGCGCCAGCACAAGCTCCGGCCTTAATTTACTTTAATTTAATTTAATTTACTGGGCTGCAGTGTGAGCGCCTCACGGCTCTGAGCCCCTCGGGCTCCGCGTGTGGAGACCCGTGAGGCTGGGGTGCGCCCCGTGTCTGCTGCCTGCACCCACCGTGAGCCGGGGCAGGGCTGCGAGCGCGGCCTCATTGCTAATTCAGAGTGGAAACAGCTCCTCTGGGGGCCTTAATTCCAGACAAGGAGCACGGCGATAAAGCTGGTGGAAATCCTGTCCCGAGTGATAAACTTCTGCCCTCTGAAACGGATGCCCGCTGCGCCGCGTCTCCGCCTGTGCTCGCCCTTCCTGCCAGGCTTCTCTGAGAGCTGCGGAACAAGAGTTGCCTCAAGAGAGAGGAGCACCAAGTCCAGTAAAAAGAGACCTTTCTGGTGGGACCGTGAAGAAAGGGACTGGGAAATCTGCTGGCTTCTGGTGCTGATGTGGGTAGAAGCATTTCCTTGAGGAGAGACCCCACAGGATGGATTTTTGCCGTGTTGCTTTGTGCTTTAATACCCGTGACTGGATCAAACCATCAGTTCCACTCATCAGTGCGGCGAGCTCCTTGGTGATAAGCTATTCCCACACTTCTGAGTGATACCAAAACCATGAGTTTGTGAACGAGGAGCAAGGCCCTGGGTGAGCCTCCCAGCGCGGCTGCAACCTCGGTGTCTAGTGGCATTCCCGTCCCTGCCCTCTGACAGGCTTTGTTCGTGCCCTCCCTCGTTCCCCTCCTTTTGCAGAGGCGCAGCTGGGTCCCTGACAGGCAGCCCACGTGAGTGCACTCTGCCCTGTGATCCAATAGGACATGTGCATTCTGTGTGCTCCTGCTCAGCGCTACGGACGGCGAAAGCCTCAGTTTTCGGTCCAGAAAGCTGATTAGGAGAGACACAGCGCAAAGAGAGAGCAGTGTTGTGAGAGAGCCCTGCCCTGCCTCGTTTCATGTAGCACGTTGCCTTTAGTTCCCTGTTGTTGGTTTGGAAGATGCACAGAGCAGCCCTGAGCCTCCACAGCTCCCTGTGGAGCGCTCGTGTTAGCACTGGCTGTATGACTCCAGTCAGGCCTCGTGGTGTGCTGAGCTGAAAGCGCAGGACTTAAAAGGTTGCAACACCTTCGCATTTGTTTTCTTACCTCCTCGCCCCATCCTCTGCAAGATTCGCTGTATTGATTCGTGTCAGTGATTCAAGAGACTGTCACAAGTGATGGTGAGTTGTACAGTCAAGGTGGAAAAAAACTGTCTCCTAAGAAAAGATCTGACAGAGAAAAATGCAGAAAATGCAATTTGAATTGAAGAGTGGGTCAAGACACCTGCCAAGGGAGAGGATGGATGTCTCTCCTGCAGACCTGGAGAGGCAATGTGGCCTTGGAACAGCTTGTGAAACAGGAACTCTGAAGGACAGAGCATACCAGGACAGGGGGAAATAACGTCGCACTCCCTGTATGCATTAGAGACAATTTGTAAAGCAATTTGAGAGCTTTGTATGGAAGATTCTTCATCAGTGCATAAAGAATAATCGTTTCATCAATGATTGTCCAACAACGTGGGGAATTTGATAAACTCCCAGGCTGAATTTCTCTGGCCTTGGTCTGCATATTGATTTTATTTCAAGAATAATAGAGTAAATGCTGTAAATGGCTGGTATTGATGTGTTGTGACAAGCAGGACAAAGTGTGTTTTGGAGCTGTGTGGTCCTGCGTTGCTGTCACTGTTCAGCTACTTCAGAGGCCTCAAAGATTCACCAGTGAGACTTTCTTCCCTCCATGTCCATGTAGCTGTTCTAAGACTGCCTGTCTTCAATCTGGCCCTGGGCAGAGATGAACAGATGAGCAAGAGACTCTGGACTGACTTTGTGTTCCTGTCCACACAGCGCTACACTAATGGAACAGTTACAGCACTAGGTCAAGCAAGAGCAGGTGTGAGCCCGCTGGTTGGGGTGTTCTGTATCCAGCTGCCCCTCCAGTGAATGTTGCTTTAGATAAGTGACCACCCAGCGGGGCTGAGGCTGAACCCCCAGTACCCAGATCGCAGCAGTTGCGTGGGCTGTTGCAGAGCTGGGCTCAGGCAGCGGATGCGTGTTGGGAAGGTGAGTTTTGGTAACAGAAGCCGAATTCTCTCTCGGCATAGCGTGAGGAGACCGAGTGCCTCGCTGAGGCTGTGAGCTGCGCTGAGCAGCCAAATGCCCTAAAAACCCGTCAGAAAGAGTTGAGTGGGTTTTGAGCCCACCAGCCCTTCCTTGGCTGACCTGAGATGCAGAGTGGGGCTGGGAAATGGCCGAGGTAACAACTGCAGGAAGGGAGTTCTGGCCTCCTCTGCCCACTCCCGTGGGACTGCCCTTTGAGTACTGGGCTGTGCAGCTCTGCCCTGGCCCTGCAGCTCAGTGCCCAGCAGCCCCCGCCTCAAGAAAGGCTCTCAAACAAATCCTGACACTTTTAGGCTGGATGCTGTGGGGTACAGGAGGGATGCTGAGGTCGTTTTCCAAGCTCACCTTTGTTATGTGCAGTAGTATGCACGTGGAGGGGATATTCCCAAGCAGGCCTGGTTGTTCTTATTACTGTTTTTGTTCATGACTTGACATTTTACTTGAAGACCTAGACCTTCATTTTGGATTTACGCAGCATTCGTAATCTCCAGATTATGGGTTAGATCACATTTGTATTGTGTACAATTAATTGTGCTAATAAGCTGCAATAAACACGGTGATTAATGCACACCGTCTGTTGCAGGCAGCCAGCTCTTACAATTTCTAAGTATTTGCTATAATGAAAATTGCCAGCAAATGTGTTCAGTGAGAAGACAGAGATCCGTTACTGAATCTCTGTACTCTTTTTAGGCAGGAGGTTTGCATTTTGTAAACGAATAAACTGAGGCACAAAGGGATTACACAAATTGTTCAGAGTAAGTAGCTGTCAGACTGGAGACTCAGAGCAAGGGCATGGTGTGAGTAGAGGGAACATATTAGAGCACATTGTGTTGGAGCATCAGTCCTGTATGTTGCTTGCACATGATTCAGCCAAGTAATTACATTCTGGGGTAAAATTAGGCTGAGCTGCTTCTCCATCCTTGTGATAGCACAATTTGATCTTCCGCAAATAGCCCAAGCCATGGTTTTGCTCCCCCCTGGAAGCACTGAACTAAATTTGCCATCAGGTGTGGCATTGGGGTGACAGCTATGGTTTGTTCCACTGCATGCACACTGCGTCCCCAGATAACCCCGCAGCTGCACATACACAACAATCTGGCGAAAATTAAAACTGCTTCTGAAATTCTCTGCCCGATGTCGCCTGAAGCCGTTTGTTCAGTTTGTCTCCGCAAGGTCACCGAGACAGAAGAGTGCGTTCTCCGAGCACGTTGGCCTGGAGCCTTTCAGGCAGATGCCTTCAGTTAAGGCAGGGGCCGCCCTCCCCCTCCCTTTGGTCCCTTCCTTCCCACTCCCTCATTTTCTGTTCCTCTCTACGCCCCCTTCGTAGCTCAGGAGCCCCGGGATCAATATACTTAAGAATAAAGCCTATCCCTTTTTATCATCTTAACACAATCACTAATCATAAACTCTCTTCTTTGGTAAGCATTAGAGCCTTCCTTAGCTGCAGTAGAATGTGTTATTGTGGTCCTTTTTTCTGTTTTTTCTTCTTCCAGAACTGTCCTGAGAGCGCTTCCCCTGTGCTTCCTCGTGCGCAGGGCAGAGCTGAGGGCAGCTCTGAATTGCTGGGCCCTCGGTACCCTGATCTTGCAAACCCATGAGGCTGCAGCTTGAAACAAATTCTATTTCTGCATCTTTCAGCAGCTTGCAGCATGATCTTAGACTGTTTCCTTTAGGAAAGTCAAAATATAAAATTCACTTTTTTTTTTTTTGAATAGTCAAGAGCAGGAAAATTCTGTTCAGGATGATATTGGCCGCGTGTGCTGCGAAGCTGGCCCTGAACTTCTGAGCTTGGTTTTCTCAAGCTCTGCAACGGGAATAATGCAAGTACTTTGCTTGCAGATATATGTTAAAGATCGGTAAAAAGCTTCCTTGAACATTGTTAATTATCAAATTAGTAAAACTGCTCCTATCTGTGAAATCCACAGGCAGCACACTCCTCGTCTGCAGCAGGTTGCTGCAAGAAGCAAACGGCTGCTTCCCAACTCAAAGGCAGAACCCAGAATATTTGTTCTGATAGTTTGGGATTTGCTTCTCCCTTCCCTTTCTGCATCTGGGAGCACTGAGTGAGCCACGTAAGTTGCTGTGTGGAAAAAAACCCAACCCATCCTTAATGCCTCCTTCACGGGGATGTTCAGATGGATTAATTATTCTTTGTTCTGGTCTCTGAAGATAAAGGGTAATTGCTCTTAATTAGGAGTAATTGAAAAATTGCTCCTTCGCAGAGAGCCCAATAGCATTAGTGGGATTTGAGCTTCTTGCCACCTATAGGGAGGAGACTGCCAGCCCTGAAGTTACAGCAAAGGCTGCTCTAAACCCAAGGATGGCCTCAGAGGGTTTCCTCCGTTCCCAGCCTGCGCTTCAGAGCAATGTTTTCAGATATCCCAGGTCCTGGAGCATGCAAGCGAGGCTGGGCTCTTTGTTTTGTTCTGCTGAGTGGTGCTTCAGCAGAGGATGCGATCCGCGAGGCCGGCTGTCAGCCTTGGTGCCGCGAGGCTTTTCGTCAGGAAGCTTCCAGGAACAAACACCCCTTGGCTTACCTGTCCGCCAAGGAAGCTTGAGGAAAAAAGCAAACAAAAGCCTCCACCTCTTTAGGAAGCAGCACTTCATCAGGGGGTCAGCAAGAAGGCAGAGGCGCCTGCCAAAAGTGGAGAATGTTGAGATATTTGGATTAAGGTGAAAAGCAGAATTAGGATTTTTCCGAGGGCAGAACAGATCCGTGCGCCCTGCTTTTTCTTGCCCCTCAATTCCTCTGCAGGTGAAGCCGTGGCCCTGTTTTGCAGTGAGATGCATCTGCTGCTGTTGCCGTGTGCTGAACAACCCTTCTCTCTGCGTGGCTTTATGTTCAGCTCCAGCAGCCTCGAGCAGCACAGGAGCAGGGCTGCCTGCCGCAGAGCACTCAGCTCTGTAATGAGGGAGACGAAGGCAAACACTTCCCTGCACACCCCTCGCTCAGCAGCAGCGGAGCTGAGCGCAAGGACAGGCCTCCAGGAGCAGCCCTGCACAACCCGTGGCTGCTTCGTGGCTCCAGCAGGGCAGCAGCAGCGTGTGACAGAGGAGAGGAGCTGCGGGGAGCTGCTCAGAGCGGTAGGGCTGGGGAGTTTCAGGGTCTCGGCATGTCCTGGTGTCAGCTCGGAGCAAGGAGCGTGCCAGTCACTGCCTGCTTGGGGCACAAGGATCTCAGCTCTTTGCCTGACCCAGCCTGACAGCGCCCTCCCCACCCGCCTGTTCTGGCCTCCAGCCACCTTCAGCTGCAGCCCCCCCCCTGCCCGGCACAGCAAGTCAAAGCCCCTCGGAAGCAGAGCGAGGCGCAGCTTTGGGTGGGGGAGAATCAGCAGCGACTCTTTTTATTTCTGCTGTGCTGGTCAGGGCTGCTCACAGAGACCAGTGAGCGCGGGCAGATCTCTGGGGGCTACGGCTGCTGTAGACTGCAGAAGACAAAAAGCACCAGAAGCATCTGACCTATTTTGGGAAGCTTGCTGGGGCTTTCTGGTTTGTTTTTATTTTATTTTTGAATTTGCACCTGAGTTAGAGGCTGTAAATATTTGTCGCTTTCCCTAACTATGCACACTGTGGAGACAGAAACAAACTAAAAAAATACCTTGCTGCATTTGCTGGGCTGACTCCACCAGCTGCCCTGAGGGCACGGGAGTTTGAGCTGGCTCTCGAGATGACTTCTGCCTGCTGCTGGTTGCTCCCAGGCTCCTGGTGGTGCACGCAGCAGCCTTCGTGGAGTGCCTGATGCACTGAGATGAGCTGGGGACGGCTGACCGAGGGCACGTCCCTCAGGCCACCTCAGTAAAATTCCATCGTGCACGTGCTGCAACCCAAGCAGTTGTTGCTACGTGACCTCCTCTGTCCCTGTTTCATACCTGTGGTGCTTCGAAGCTCATGTTCATCCTGCTGTAACAGTAGTGACTTAATTAGGGCTGAATTTGCTCTGAACATGAGCAGCTTCCATCAAGTCATCTAAAGGATCAGATCTCGTTTCTCCTTTCTCTCCGTATTGGTGGCATCTGGTTTCATTTTCCATCTTTCCGAGGGGAGCTCACTTTTCCCCCCATTTCAGCGTGTGCCTGCTGCGTGGCAGCACCCAGGGCTGCCGCTGCCTCCGAGCCGAGCCAAGCGGCGCTCTGCCAGCCAGCAAAGCTCAGGATTGTGGGGGGCAGAACGTGAGAGGCTTCAAGGAGCGGTGTTGTGGACTGTGTAGCTTAACCCCCGTACGTGCTTATAGGTCACGAAACTAAGCCACAGGCAGTTAAATGTGTGTGTGTCCCCACGCAGGGTGTGCAGAGGCAGCAGTTTGCATCCTGCAGTGCCACAGGAGGCAGTGGCTTTGCCCCGCCTGGCTCCTCTTCCCTGGTACCCCAAGGGGCACCCGGGGCCTTCCCAGGGTAGGTGACAGGGTGGGCACTGCTGGTGGGACAGCAGGGCTGGCACAGGACGTGGGATGCCCAGCAAAACTTCTACACGTCCACCACTCTCTGTGTGGCCTCACTATTTATTGCTAAATACACCCGTGTGAGAAACTCTGTGCATCTTGTGAAGGGTCTTCAGGATTCAATTCCTTTAACTCGTCCCTTCTCTGCCCCTGTCCCCACCCTAACTCCATGGCCAGACTAAAACTCCCTCAGCGTTGGGCACGGCAAGCAGGGGGGCAGACAGTGAAGTCATAATTGTGAGGTGTTTTTGAAGATGTAGGATTTAAATAAACAACCCAAACCCATGTGGGGATGGGTTCAAGTGCTTATTAGATTCCTCTACAGCATACTTCCTACTGCAGCTCTCAACAGCCCTACTGCTTTATGTACATATTGCTTTATGTCTTATATCTCCATGCACAGACCTCTCTCAGCTACGCTTTGTGTTCTGTAACCTGCGTTGTGAGGTGATCGGCACCCCTGAGTCACATCCCAGATGTTAACGAAAGCATTTTAACATCATTTAATTAATTTACTTAAATTACACGTACTGAGCTTTTTTTGTTTTGGGGACTTGCTGGGTGCAGGTGTTCCTTGGTAAGCGTGGGGGCAAGAAAGCTAATTAGTCTTTTGCTTGTCTGAGCAGCAGCGACTGATGGTGTCACCGTATGTTGAAGCTCGTTTTTCAATAAAATTGCAGGAGTTTATAACATGGATCCGGAGCTCCTGCTCCCATTCACATTCCCTCCTACTCTACCCTACATTCTCCGACAGCACGATACCATAGTGACAAACACAGCAAACTCTCCGTGTGAAGCACGTACCGAATCTCCAGCCTCGTTCTTTGGGAAGCCTCTCACACATTGCGGCTTTATACAGGGGATGATGTTCAGAGGACAGGATAGAAGTGATTTTTGACTAAGTAATGGACTTAAGGACTTCACATCCAGGCAGGCTGTCTTTCTGGCTGTCAGGACTGTGTAACTGTGTCACCAATATCCCGCCTGATGTTTTCTTTATTATTATTCATAAGCTGCCGTTCCGTGCAGCAATCAAACCCTTCAGGCTGCGCCGTCTCGGGGATTAGCACATCGCGGCGCGGTTAAAGTCACTTCGCCTCAAGTCTTCTGCCTCTGAGAAGTGCCCCAGGCTAATCGCAGTGAATGTGACGCCTGTCGTGTCTCCTCGTTCAGGTGCGTGCAGCGGGCCTGTCATCCCTGCAAGCCCTTACAGCCGGTGATATGCGGCCAGCCTCGTGCGGCGCGCTTCCACGCCGGCAGTCAGTGGAGCCCGGCAAGGTATGGCTCAGCCTTGCTTTGCATAACTCCCACAGCGCAAGGCTCTCCCTCCTGCAATCATTAATAAGCAAGAAGAATATTATATAAGCTGGCGTCTTTTTTTAAACCATGATAATTTCCAATGCTCTTATAATTAGGACAAAGATGAGAGTTTGAGCCGGGGGAGGAAACAGACAAAGGATTAAGCTGATCTCCACCATGACGTTGGAAGGTTTCTTTGTCTGTTATGTGCTAGTTTGGACAATAATGGGTACACTTCAGCCACGTGAAGAGGAAAACAGACAATTTATTTAAAAGTATTAATCCTTTTCATCCTGAAACGTTATCTATTGCCATAAATAGGATCAGAGCTTTCTAGTCCACTTATATTGTGATTAACTGACCCTGCAGTAAGAGCCTGAAAAGCAGAGGATGTCTGTGTTGTATCCTGATGCTTTCCAGCTCAGGTGGGTTGGATAAAGCAGACAAAAATGTGTTGCTGGGAGTCTCTGCTTGAGGCCAAGTGACTGCTGGCTGCAGCCACAGGGCAGTGGCACGGGAAGAGACGTGGTCTCGCGGGCAGCGGGTCCCAAGACTCAGTAGGTCGGCCGTGATGTTTTCACCCGGGGCAGTTCAGTGTCTGGGCTGAGGAGGCAGGGTTTGCCGTGAAGGGAAACCAAGTGAAGGTGTGGGTAATAGATGTAACTAATAGGGCCGCTTACTCTGGAGCAGGGACGATTTTAAAAGTCACTTGTCAAAATCATTTTCCCTCTAATGCTGCAGCAGCCCTCGGAGATGAGCATGTTCCTGATGTTCCCCCTCACTCACATGCACGAACACGGGGAGGCAGGCGGGAGGAGGCAGCTGCACTGACACGCTATGGGGTTTGCAAGAACAAGATGGCAATTTAGCAGAACGATTAAAAGATTGCAAACATTTATTAATAGCTTTGCTGCTGCAGCAGCTCTGCCGGAGAAGCCTTGCTTCCTCAGGGATGCTCTTACCTCCTGCCCCTTCCCTTCCCCAGCTTTAGAAACTGAAAAGTCATTTTTGGAGTCGGTTGCAATGTAAAGCTGTAGCTCTGCCCCAACAGTCTGGCCACTTTATGCCATTACCTGGGAAGGGGCAGGGGGAACCCAAGTGTGAGAAAGAAGTTATGCAGAGAAAAAAGAAAGGGATTTTTGTTTTCAGCTATTGCTTGGCCTTTTTCTCCTCCCTGTGCTCCTCTCTTTGTCTCCTTGCCCTTCTTCAGCCACTCCTTTTCCTCCCTCAGGCCAGAGTGACTTTCTGTTGCTGGCACTGGGTTGAGATGTGGGTCTGCACTGCATCGTTGATGCTGTGTGACAAATGAGGGGAAGACAGTATAAGAAGAGTTTGGAGCAGATCTGGTCAAAGTTCTGCAGAGCAACCAACAAATCCCCTGAGAGAAGATAGAGTAAGGTCAGGTCTTTTGTAATTCTCATGACTGTTGTTGTCTGCTCAGATTTTGTTTTACTTTTAACATTGGGAAGGGGAGAAGGTGAAGGTTCAGTAGGACGAAAAAAAAAGGAAAGGGCAATGGGCTGATCAAGAAATCCCCTTGTACTTCATGGCTGATCCTGCTGGACTGCAGCAAGCGCTGCAAATGAGCTGGGCACTAACGATGTTTGTATGCGCAGTATCTGAGACATTTTTATCCCGCAGAGCAGCTGATGGTGACTGACTGATGGAAGTTTGCAGCAGGAGGATATTTATCCTACGCATATGCTGACCTCCTCCATATTCCCATCCCCAGTGAAGTAATCAGTTTCTTGCGCTTTTTTTTTATAAACTGGGTCCTACTAAAATGTACGGACAGCCCAAAAGGAATATCTATTTTTTTCCTGCTAAGCAAAGCTGACAGTAGGCATGAATGCTTGTGTTCCTGTCATTATCTAAAATCCTGCTTGGAATCGGGCAGGATGGCAGCGCACCTCAACCACAGCCATTCCTGTACAGCACTTCTATATGCCATGCTCTTTGTGGGCTGACCTGTGAAACCTCACAGCCTGAAAGAGAAGTGTGAGCCCCACAGAAATCTTCCCTGCTAGGGATGGTTAATGAAAGCCTGTGTGCATTTCTGTAGAGCTTGGCAGGCGGCCTCTACAGCCTTGAAAAGGCCTGCTTTTGTAGAGAATGAGTATAATAGTTTGTATAATCCCAGTCTAAGAGCCAGAGTACCTACCTGCAATTGTAGTTAATGCTCTGGGTGTGTTTGGGCTAATTGCTTCCTTCAATCTGTTTCTTTAGGAGCTGGAATTCCCTTGCTCAGAATAGCTCAGGAATGACAAAAGAGGATGAAACAGAGCTGGATGTTGGAGAGGTACCTGGTCTCAGGTGAGATGCAATTCTATATTCTATGTACGATCCCTCAAACACCAGTTCAACAGAAGAAACTGATTTCAGAGAGACTTTCTATCTCTCATTTCTTGTCTGAAGATTGAAAATCACAGATCTTCCCAGTTAGTAGCAGCTACATAGTTTCAGCTCCCTGTCAAAGTTCTCATCCTTTCCTGGAGGTAGCTATTTTATCAGCATCGGTTTCAGTATCTGTAATTTCCAAGTTCAGTGTGTGTGATAACAAAAGGATGCCTTGCAGTCCTGAGACAACTGGGACGGCTGTTGGTGTTTTTTTTAGTTTTATTTTTTTCATGTCCTGAAAAGGTGTTTTAGAATGTGTTGGCCTTTACAAATATTTAAAGAAAGAGATTGTATTTCTTCATCGTTTCCCCTGCTCTTGTCAAAATCTCAACCCTCAATGATCCTCTTGCCTCCTATATACCTCACTATTTTGTTAGTAACCTATTTTCTTGCTCATTAATAATAATATATATATATATAGTACTATTTAGGGTATGAGAACCACTGTCCTCTTTCTTGTGGAGTAGTCAGAGTGTAGCCTTTACCGCTGTTAGGTCAAATGCTCCCTCTGGTACACTGTCCATATCTCTGGAAGCAATTGGAATTGTGTCTTTGCAAATGAGTAAAGAATTTGCTTTCTTATGTATCAAGTTATCTCTGTAATCATGTATCTTTGCCTCTCTATGTGCATTCAAGTAGCAAGTAACAGGACCATAACTATGGCTAAATAACCTGTATTCAGATTCAAACACAACAAAAGAGCAAGGTGTTCAGCAGTTCAACAGATCAACTGATCAATTTATTAGTGAGACATGAAAAAATTCTAGAGTGGTAAGAAGCTCATGAAATTCCACGAGTTCATTTACTCTATCTTCTTCCCATCGTTAAAGGAAGACAGGAGCTTGGGATAGCTACCAAGGCATTCACCTTTGTAATTTTCTTTCTTGGCCACCACACAACACAGGAGCTGGGGACAGCGCTCAGCTATAGCCCAGATACACCCTTGAGACACGATTAGTCTGGAGCTGTACCACCTTTGTGAGGCTTGGATTTCACATAAATGCTAAGGAATACGGTGACCAAAAGCAACGTGGCTAGATCTTTTCTAACTGGAAAATGGAGAGATTAGAGAAGAGGCGGTGAGCCTGTCACTTCTGCACAGTGAGAAGCCAGGAGGTGAGGATCTTCACTTTTTATTCACTTATTTGGGAACAAGGCAAGAGAAAATAGGTGTTCTTCTTTGTATCCTTGCTAGGAGACAGAGAAGAGGTAATAATGAAGAAAGGGAGAAGAGAGTAGAGGTGATAACAGGAAAGAAAATTGTCCTTTCTCAGTGCCAGGTACTAATAAATAACTTTCTGGTTGCTGAGAAGAAAGGTAGAAAGCAGAAGAGAGGATTTTTCAAGGTTTTGGTTCTTCTGTGGAGTAAGTGCCTTTGAAGAAATATATTCAAAGATAAAATACTCCAAGAGAACATAAATATAGGAATGATGAGGCTGCACATGATGAACTTGTTAGTTTTAAAACTCTATCAGAACAAAGTCATTAA